CACACACACAGAGAGAGAGAGAGAGAGAGAGAGAGAGAGAGAGAGAGAGAGAGAGAGAGAAAAGACCTACTCCCGCTGAAAAAGCAGACAGGCACCCCTTCACAAGTGCAAGGGTGTTTAGAAAAGCTTTCTCTCCCCTCCCACTTGGGCGGGTGCCGGAAGAACTTCCAGTCATTCATCCTGTCCCACCCGCCCACCCCCTGCCAAGAACTGCATTTTAGAAGGCATCCCAGAAGCGCGGAGAGTCTAGGGTTCCTAATTCACATGCTCTTAAATCCAAACTCCTGTTTGTGAGTCTGGACATCAGCACTCCTATACCATTTCAGCTGGCCCCGGGCTGGAGCGCCACTTGCTCCCTTGTGATGCTGCCGCACATCCCTGGATCACAGTGTTTGCACCCAACTGCTGGGAAATCCTGTAGGCAGATGGAATGGTGGCTGCCACACACGCATGCTCTCCCCCTCCAGCCGGGGATCCCTGCCCTTCCCCTGCAGTGCGCGTGGGCGCCGCCCATCAGTCTACCAGAGTCCAGCAGGCTGCAGCTGTGCTGGGCACCTCCCTGGAGCTTCTCCAGTTGAGGCGCCCCCTCCTCAGTGCTAAGAAGGGGGCCAAGAAGGCGGCAGCTCCGCAGCTTGGGCCTCTGCGGCAGTGACCAAGGCTAAGAGCTCTGTCCTACTTCCCCCACTCAGTCTCATCTCTGTATACCTGGGGTCAACCCCAAACACTTCAGGTCTCTTGTGCTTCCTGAGGGCGTCTCCCACCTTTTTCAAGACAGGAGCCCTTACTGCTCTGTTGCTTCTTCCCACGGTGTGTGTGGGCTGGGGGAGGGGGCGCTCCTGTCCCCGCTGTTGCCCCCCACCAATTCCTTGGCCCAAATAACCTCTCTTGATTCCCACATGTTGCTTCCCGCCTCCCAGCAGCTTCTTATTCCCTTGGGCTCCCCATTCATGCATCTTTCTGGAGTATCTTCCATCCATCCGTGGCAGCCAAACAGGATGCAAGAGATACCCCATGTTCAGGAAACTCAGTAGGCACCTAACATTGCCTTGCTTCTTTCTCCCACCCAGGGGGTCTTTTTCTTACCTTTACTCTGGACCATGTTCGGGGTGATGGCAATGGCGAGGTCTTTAGACCCATCTCTGGAGGGAGCACTGGACATTGCAATAGACTCGGCACAGGACTCGGCTTTGGGTAGGACTCTGGAGAAGGCTCAGGACAGGAGTCCGGGGCAGTTTCTGAGACTGGCTCTGGAGCCAGCAGTGTAGCAGGTTCTGGGGCCGGCTCTAGGGCTGGCTTTGGAGTTGGTTCTGGCACCGGCTGTGTGGTCGGCTCTGTGTCTGGTTCTGGGTTCGGTTCTGTGTCTAGTTCTGTGGCTGGTTCTGAGCTCTCCTCTGGAAAGGGTCCTAGAGCAGGCTCTGGACAGTGCTCTGGTGCAGTTTCTGGCGAACGCTCCGGCAGCGGTGGAGGAGCCGGCGGCGGAGGAGCCCGCTGCGGAGCAGTAGGCGGCGGTGACCGCAGCGGCGGTGGCCACGGCAGCTGCGGTTCTGGAGACTCCGCGGGCTGCTCTCCATCCGGAGGCTGGGCAGTGGTGCCAAGGTTCATGGCAGCTTCACGATCCATAACCACACACTGTTTCAGGTCTGGACAGCCGGCACCCTTGGGCTTGGAGGGCTAAAGAGCCCTGGGGTGCCCCGCCCACTGCTGTCCGGCATCCCCTCACAGGGTGCCAAACTTTCCTCTATCTCGCTCCAAGGCTGGCTCCGCTCTGAGGTCTGAGTCCCTGCGCTCGGCGTCTCCCAGTGCTGGAACACGCCCCTCGGTGAGCGCACACCTCTCTGTCGCTGCCACTGGCCTGATGGGCGGGAAACAGAGGGGCTTGCGGATGCGGACTGGGCAGAGCTTTAGAAGACCTCCTAGAAGCTCGGATTGAGGCGGGGGTGGACAAAACGGGGAGGGGGAGTAGAGCGGCTTGGTGGGGGTTGTTGGAGCCTGGTAATATTTAACCCTTTAGTGACTGACATATATAAAAGGAAAAAGAAAAACAGATGCAAAGTTGAGGGTCTTTACAATCCCTCTAATCATTGTCGTGAGCTGCTCAGAACAGCATCCATCCGTGGCTTCTCTTGTACCTAAGCAGCAGGTGAGCCTGGCTTTGGATGAAGCTTTTGCGCCCCATCTCTGAGCTTCGGTGATCTAGTAATCTTTTCTCTTTAACCTGGGAAAGAAATTAACCTTCATGGTGTGTGTGTGTGTGTGTGTGTGTGTGTGTGTGTGTGTGTGTGGTGTGTAGGTACCCGTTTGTGTATGTGTCCGGGGTGGGGGATGGGGACATCTCCGTGGGATTGAAATAAGATTTGTCTCCTCTAGCCTCCGTTTTTGCGTTTTTTTCTGCTTAGCCAGATTCTCTAAGTGGTTTGCACTGAGGTATAGGGTTTGAGATGCTTTGGCAAAAGAATTTGATGAAAGAGGGCTAGTGCCCTGGCTTTCTGCAGCCTGCCGATGTAACCCTGAGAGCAAGTGAGTGGCCAGGCAGGGCTGCATGCTCCTGAGCCAAGGCTACTATGATCTCTGCAGCTATCCCAGCATCTGGCCAGGCTGAGTTTTGCTGTAGGTCTGACTGTCTTTTGCTTTGAGCTGGAGTTTCCAGGCATCACCAGGACTTTTTACAGAACTTACTAATGTATGTGTGGCCTAGCTTGAGAGAAACTTGCTGTAACACTCATATCTTTTCCCAAGTTCCAAAACACTCTGACATTAGGGAATGGAAAATTGTGGTGCAAAAAAGGCTGGTTCACTGCTTCAGTACCCTTCCCACCTTTTCAGGAAATGTTGGAAGCCCTCTTATGGCTTAGTCTTCTGTACTCTTCTGTACACATATATACAAACATCATTTTAGGCAGACTTAGACTTTGGACACCAATACACTGCCAGTTGCAATTAAAATTTGAGATTTCCCATCAAGCCACTTCTGGGTGGGGGCTAAGGGAAGAATACTTATAGGCCTAATTTGAAATGTGACAAACAAATCTATCTCCCCCACACACATTGCTTCAGTTGTAGATGGCAACCTTCTCCATCTGCTGCCCCCTTCTTGCCTTCTCTTCCCAGATCATATCCCTCACTAGTACCTCTTCTTTTGCTGACATTGACTTCCTCAGAATTTTCTACAACCTGCGGGATTTTTTTTCTGTTCCCTACCTCACATACCAACAGTAAATAATATCATAGAATGTAGTCTCATCTAGCCTGATGCAAAGATAAGAGTTGATGATGCCCACATTTTCCAGATCCTTGCTGTAAAATTGCAACATAAACCTACCTCTCTGGAGATGTGTTACACTCTGTGGCAGCTACTAAGCCTAATACAGGGACAATCTCTAACCCCTGGGGAAGGAGAAGCACAGGGGAGGTAAGGCCTATCATCCCTCACATGGGAGACCTCCTGCTTGGAAGCCCACTCTTAGGACCCATCTTCTTCACCCTCTATGCTTTTCTCTTCTTTACTATCTCACACTCAAACAACAAGCAGCCTTTAACCTTAAGAGTTCAGAAATACAACATACACATGCCAGATATGACTAATTATTAAGCCCAAGTTTGGAGCTAACTTCTCAGCCTATCGCACATTATAATAAAATCCTTGTGCTTAGCAGGGGTAATATCCCACATTTAAACCTTCCTTTTCACTAAGCCTTACTATATAGATAGAAGGGCTGAAGGTTGAGCAGTCATGTAGTAAGATGATCTCTAAAGTTAGATTCCCATAGGGTAGTGTTTGCTCTAGGGAGTGTGTTGTCAAGCAGGACACCAGTGGGTGACAATTTGGAGATTATACTTTATGTATGTTCATCAAAACTCCCATTTATTATTCTATGTGCAATCAGGAGTCCAAAAATTTATTATATAAATTCTTGTCTCAAGTTCACTTTGAAGTCATTTATGCTTTTTTTCCTATATTTAGGACAGGGTCTACAGGGTCTACAGGGACTCATTGTAGATCAGACTCAGTGATTCTCCTATTTTCAGCTTCTCAAGTGCTGGGATTACAGGTGCACGCCTCCACACCCAGTGTCTTTTTAAATTTTTTTTTAAATTTTAAATTTTAAATTTTAATTAGTTTTATTTATTTTTTTCTACAATTTTTTTTAAAAAATTGTGTGTGTGTGTGTGTGTGTGTGTGTGTGGCCAGCTCAGCCCACCAGGGGGCAGAGCTGGCTGGCTTGTGGTGCTGGGGGATTGAATTGTGGTACCTGTGCTTTGCTAAGCTTGTTCTAAGTAGGTGCTTTAGACCACTGAGCCATCTCACCAGCCCCTAATTAGTTTTATTGAGAAAGAAGTAGCAATGAGATAGTTTCAAAACAGGTTAGTATGACAGTTACAATAATTAATACATTGCATATTGTTGTCTTCATAGTAGTTATTCATAGTATAAGATGCAGACGTGGTATCTTGTCTAAACACTATTAGTTCAAAACTTTCTTCTCATTGAACAAAGAGAAAGTAGCTGTATATCTATGCTATTTTGTATATACAGATACATATATTTTTTTTCACTACAAAATGGTCTTTCATTTACCTTTGTCAGAAATGTGTATTCGATTGCCATTCATATATTGTAAGTACATGAATTCAGCAAAGTAATCCAATATAGTCCAGTAGTCCATAATAGTAGTGGGTTATCCACATGCCAGGCAATGTCAGAAGTTGTTGACTTGAGTCTTTCACAGGTCAGCATACTAATATGGCTTTACTTTTTATACCTCATTTTTATACTTTTCTGCTGGATGGTTAAGACCAAGATAAAGCAAGACCTATCTAATACCCAGTCTCAATTGCCATCTCAGCACACCCTGTGGGCGGGGCCAGTATGTCACTCCAGGAATCAAACCCAGCCCCTGTGCTCTGGCTAAGTAGGTGCTTTAGTCTGCTGAGTTATCAGGCCAGGCTATGCTTGATTTTTGCTCCACTAAGGTGTGTTGCTGGGTTATACTGCCTAAATTATATTGTAATTAGGTTTAAAGGTTTTAAAAAAGTATCTTTCATAAAATCCTTAAACCTAATCTGCCAGAAAAAAGGTATCTTTCAACACACTACAAATTGACTTATAGCCTTCTGTCCTAGGAAGGGGTGTTATTTGGGTTTTTTTGGTCTCTCTTCAGCCCCACATTGAAATACAATGGTTTGTAGGAGAGAGAGAGAGAGAGAGAGAGAGAGAGAGAGAGAGAGAGAGAGAAGAAGAAGAAGAAGAAGAAGAAGAAGAAGAAGAAGAAGAAGAAGAAGAAGAAGAGACAAGATGCGAAGAGAGATGGGAGAGGGGAGAGGGGAGAGGGTCCAGAGGTGCCTGATTTGGTGAAGCAACTTTGCTGTAACTAGGGTGTACCTTTTTCTCCCCCCATAACCTGTTGTTTCTGTTTGTAACAGCAAAGTTTACTGAAGTTTATGTCATTTCCTCAAAGCCTAACAGTGCTGAGGCCATAGTAAAGGTTCAGCAAATATCTGTTAAATGGCTGACTCATTGCAAATTACTGGTTAGGCTGTCTCTTTCTTTCTGCATTGCTTTTTAGTGGTATTTGATATTTCAGATGATTAATGATCTCCTAAGAGGTTCTTTTCTAATTAAACACTGATGATAAAAAAAGGCCAAGAACTACATAAGAATGTCTTCTCTCAAGCATACTTGGGATTGTAACCAAAGAAGCTTGGATGTTGCTAGAGTCAGGGTGCTAGATGTCCTAGTGAAGACATGGTCCCTAACCTTGTACTATTTGGTTTGTTATTTAAATTACCTGATTGAGCTGAATGAAGATGTGATCAGTATGGTGCATTTATACTGCTTAGTATGAAAATTTATACCTCACCCCTCCCACCATTTTAAGCCTGATTCCACCCCAACCACCATCCAAGTCAGTATGAAAATCCTTTTATCTCAGCCATGCCAGGAGTTCTGGAGATGCAAAGAAAAGAAAACCTGAGAAATGTAGCAAAATTAAAGCTCTTCCTCCTCCTTTTAAAATCTATTCTGCATTACTGAATGGGAGAGAGGCACTGCAGTGCTAGAGTGAAAGCCTATTTCTTCTTAATCAGTAGTTTGAAAACTCCTTGTTAGAGTAATTTGGAAAGAAATCAGCATCACTCTTGAGTTTTAGCAAGTTCCAACCACTCTCACTCTTTCTTCCTTGCAATATGCAAAGCCAAACTAGCAAACTTTATAACAATACACTAAATAAAATAGGTAAGATTAAAAAAAAACAGCCTTTATGGAGAAGGTAGAGGTTTCAGACAATTCATTTAGAGAGGATTAAAATGTATTCCTGTCATCCTTTAATTACTCTAGTGTCTAAGGTTTTAATTGATATAGTATTGGAGAGTTTGCAAGTCAATACTTTGCATTTTTTCAAGTGCATTTTGATTTTTAAAGTACATTCACATACATTATCTCATTTGAGTCTCACAACAAATATGTAAGGCAAGTAAGTCTGGACTTTGTCAAGTTCCCTGGGCCAACAACATTTTACAGAGAAGAAGATATAAATCCAGTGAGATTAAATACTCTATTTTAAGTCATAGAGATAATTAGTAGTAGTAAAGCAGATATTTAGAACTTGTGTCATTCAAATTCT